TGTATGTATGTATGTATGTATACATATATATTCCTAAATACATAAATACAAACTGCTCCATCTGTATGCTATTCATATGTACGCTCTCAGGGCTGCTCATTTGTCATTGAACAACCAATTGGTGTGCTCTTTTCCAAGAAGACTATAATGGTCTGTTCTGTCCCTTTAAGAGATAAGCTCCAGCCACTCTCTCTGCCAGCTGCTGAGGAAAGCCATCTTCCTTCCCCTCTGGCCCTTCCAGCCTAAGTTCCTTCCTTCCTCTCTTTCTCTCCTGAAGAGGCAGCTTCTTCCTGTCTCCCTTCTCCCCTCCCCTCTACTTTCCTCCCTCCCTCCCTCCCTCCCTCCCTCCCTCCCTCCCTTCTCTCTCTCTCTCTCTCTCTCTCTCTCTCTCTCTCTCTCTCTCTCTCTCTCTCTCCTTGTCCCCCTTCTCCCTCCCTCTCCTGTTTCTCCTTCCCTTCCATAACCCACTAAATAAATACCCACTTTTTATGCATGCTATGCCTATCTCTCTATCTGTCTCTGTCTCTCACCTGCCATGTGGCTCCCTGCCTAGAACCCACTGGCCCTCATGGCCTGTGGGCCACTCCTGAAACAGAGCCAATTTAGTTTTACCATAACAGACTATTTCTTCCACTCAGTATTCATTAGTTGCTTGAAGTTCTTTGTGTACGGTTTAAGCTCTGTGGGCTTTCCCCTGTCCACTTAAGCATGTCTATTGTTATCCTTGCTCAGCTCTTGTTTTTTTAAGGGTCACCATTTTAATTATGCTGAACTTTTCTGCCTTGGTAAGTGTCTCCCAGAAGAATATCTAGAGAATACTTTTGTAAAAAAGTACAACTGACACCCAGGCAGATAAAGGCTCTCTTGCTGAGTGAATGCCAGATGGGCTCTTAGAAACTGTCTGAGAGGAACTTACCCTGTCTTCACATGATCCTTGTACTGGTGTCACAGACTTTGATTTTTAGATCCTATAAGCAGTAGGAACTCCATTTTGTCTCTGTCTGCCATTCTTTCCTGAGCTGCCACCCACAATTTCCTGAGGTTGGGCAGCAGCCTCTCTCCCTAAACCCTCACAGAGGTGTAAGCCACAAACATTCAACCCCCTTCTGATTAGTAGTCCCAGAGCCAATCTGAATCACCTAACTACAGAACTCCCTAAAAGGCTGAAATAGTGTCACTTTGGAAAATTCCCAAACTCTTCTTTTCATATTACATTATAACTGAATGGGACTCTGGAACTGTTTTTTTTTTTTGTTTTTTTTTTTTTNTGTGTGTGTGTGTGTGTGTGTGTGTGTGTGTGTGTGTGTGTGGTTTTCCCCTTTAAAACTGGCTGCTGCCCCTGCATCAGGACCCAGTTTGGAGTTTGAACCCTGTCACCTCCCTGATACCATTTTTTCTAAATACATTTTTGGCTTACTTGAACCAGGTCTTCTTTAGTGGATTATTCCCAGATTCTCTGACTCTAACATGACATCACATGCTTTGAAGGCTGGAAAAGATAAGTCTCAGAGGCCTGGAAATGAGACTCCATAATGGTCTTCCAAATAGGAGTACAATGCAGTACAAAGTGTTCAGATTTTCAGTGTTTCATATCAAAACAGATGAGCTAGCATGCAAGCTAAAAATTAAGGGTAAAGGTTTGGTAAAGAAAGCTTGCATTACATTCTAAACATCTCATTTCCTGAAATATGTTTTCTTTAGGACAGCCAACAATCCAGTTAGTAATGAATCAAAATTAAAGCAAATCTTCAAATCCCTGTCAAAACATCAAACTAAAACACACACAAAACAAAGTACATATTTTTTTTTTTGCAGTACAAACATGTTTATTCCTAGTTGTAAAGCCTTTTATAGAGTTTGTGTGTTTTATGGCAGTTGTATATCGTGTGTATATTTGTATAACAGTCAACATATATCATCATGTGATCAACTTTGAGGATGCAAGCCAAAAGCTAGGTTGCTAAGCAAAACAGTCCAGTATGCCCCAGCAATAGCTGCAATCCCTGGCTTTGCCTCTGGTTAATTTTCAAGGTTAAATTTCAACTTTCAAAGCTATTCTTTCATACACACAAAACAAATGTAACACATAGTGACCTGGGAAAACAAACTAGTCCTGAAACTGGGCAAAGTCATCCACACTGTCCTGGGCTACTAAACCCTAGCTTTGTCCTCAAATCCAGGTACTGGTGTCAGTAGACCGCCCTGCAGCCCTGTAGGAGGCTGCTTGGCCAGTCCCCTTCCCATGTGCCACTCTGGGTAGCCGGGTAGAGTGAGTCAGACTGTTGGGGCCTGTTCATTATGCTCTGAGTCACCCGAGGGAGCCTTGCCCCGGATCAAGGCGGACTTTAATAGTCCACAAAGCAGGACTAGAAGAAGCCGCAGCCGCAGTTAATCACTAAGGTAGGAGTTGTGTGAGGCTCTCACACCCCCAGGTTCCCAGAACAGACAACTGCTCTGCGGAGCCGGAGGGAGAGGCCCCGCGGGAGAAGGCAGATCCCGCAGATCCCGCCAAAGGAAAGGCAAGAGCCCGGGAGCTGGCGAGGACGCCGACCAGCAGGTAGGGTCAGCCAAGGGGCTGCAGGGTCACGTGGGTCTAAGCCTGGGCAGCCCGCCTCGGGCGAGGCTAGCAGAGCGCAGGCGTATTCTGGGTCCCGCGCCTGCTTCCGGGTGGGCGTGTTTCCCGGGCAGGCCTAGGCCCCTGACACTGCTGCCACCCCAAACCCTGGGCTTTGATGCCTGGCAGCGGGCGCTGGAGCTTTTTACATCCGCGAAAGAATAAGCTGCGGGTGCAGAAAAAAATGCTAGGGAGTGACCTGCTAGGAGCCAGGAATTTTCGTGGAGCCTCAAGCTAGTTTGGGGTGTTGGGCTCATCCCACGCTGGGTGGAAAAGAAAAGTTCCCTCTGTTCCTCATTTACTGCCAATACCCTTCTCCTTCCTCTCTCCCACCTCACACAGTTTTCCACTGAACCGCCCCCCCCAACATTTTCTTACCTTCCCTTTATCTTTCTTTCATTGACTGCTTCTTGTCAACATAAAACAAAGCTGCTTCATCCCGCCCCACCCCCCACCCCGCATTCGCCCTGCCTGTGTAATGTTCTTCAGCTGAGCTCCCCACTTTCTAGATTCTCTTCAGCTCTCAGGCACCTGCCCTACAGCCGTGCATTGCAGGCCCAGACTGCCTTGGAGAGCTTTTTGTCCCATGTCAAGGCTGTGTGTCCACCTATGCTGGGATGGTGGACCACGCAGACATACGCTCCAGGTTCTCTTAATCAGCTGTTTCCGAGGTCACGATTTCATTTTATTTTCTCCCTCCCTCCCTCCCTCCCTCCCTCCCTCCCTCTCATACACAACCTTCAACCCTCTCATACACAACCTTCAAACATTGGACATCCCCTAGAATAAGGTGGATTTCTCTTTGAAAATTTCACCTGTTAACAAAGGCTGGAGTCAGGATGCCCAAAGCCTCTAATGCTTGTTCTGGAATGTTCATCTGTTTTTTGCCCTACATTTTCAAACTGCAGCGGCTGCCACCTTACAGCTTCGGATGACTTGATAGTTCCCACACTTCTCAAATGGAACACCTTCCCCATTCCAAGCTAGTTCTTCATAGGTACTTCCTATGCCTCTTGACCTAAATATGCATTTTTGCAGGGAGCTTTACACTGATTCTTGCTTCCTCCCTCTTTCCTAATTTGCAACAACCACTCTACCTGAAAATACCTACTTCTCCAGTCAGGGCCTCATCTATATCAACAGTCAATGGTCCAAGATAGTGGCCTACTCACAGACACCCTAGCCTCTTTATATACCAAATAGTGAGCTGTGTCATTTTCCTAAGGCCTGATATCTACATATAACACTTTGTTAGAAGTGTTTGTCTTCTAGCCCCTAGCTCATGTTTAGACTCATCAATTCAGCAGAAGAGACCCATCTTATCTCCCCCTGGTATCTCACAGGATTCCAAACAGACCAGTCCCCAGAATGCCACACAAACATGATCTGCCTACTTTTGTTTGTGTGTGTGTGTGTCTGCCAGTTTCTCAGACTGAAATTCCCCCTTAGTACCCCTCCAGAATTCCTGCTCACATTTTCAGAGGCAGCTTCTTTGAGATGACTACATGGGATTTTATTAGAAATCAGCTCCACTACTGGTGGGATTCCTTGGCACAGAAGCCTTGACAAATTATCTGCTTCAGAGATCAGGCATTTCAGTGTTTCTGTGGTCAGGGATTTGACAACTATTTTTTCTCTTCTCCTCTCCTGACATTTGTCGATTTTTGTTGACCCTTGCAGATCTGTGTCTGAGACATGGGATCTGAGGACCTGAAAGAATGGGGCAGACTACAGTCTAATACAGACAACTTTAATTATGTGTGTATCGTGAATAAGAGTATACTTTTATACATGAATGCAACAAAGAAAGCAACGATTCGAGGAAGGTTGTTCAGTAAACATGATCATAAAAAAATGTAAATAAGTGCCAGCAAGCACACACTAAATATTAACAGAACTTTCTCAAGACAGACCAATTGAAACACAGTTACCTGGCATGCACTATAGATTATTTCTGAGAAACCAGGAAAGCAAGGCAGAGACCATATCTAGATTCAGAGTACACTGAAGACTGCAGTCAGCTTGTCCTGCCATCAGATTGGGTCCTATAGCTACGTTCCGACATCCACCAAGAATTAACATGCCCTATAAATGGAATGTAAATATTTAACTGAGAAGCCAAGATATCACATCCAAGAACAATCCAGGGGAAAACTGCTCTTGAGGTAAAAGGCCCTCTTCCTTTCCTTCTGGAGCCTCTCTTACAGTTCCTGGGGCATTGTTCCCCATGGGTCGTTCTTTTGTCTTGTTCTGACAAACATGAAAGGAGACGACAGCACAAATGCTCTCTGAATGTTTGCATTTTGGAGATTGTGGAGAAATGAAGTGTTTCATACTCCCAGCAAAAGAATGGTGTCACACACTCAGAAGCAGGGAGCTTGGTTTTCAGGGTGTCACTTCTGTGAATCCTCTGGACAGTATTTAATTGTCCTTGTTCTTATTTCTTCACTTGTAAAAATGAAAATTAACTGAATACTAATTCATTTATGTGCCAGTCTAGTTGCAGAATGAACCCTAAAGGTATTATTTAGTATTTTACTGAAAATAATTTCACTTTAGATTTACTAGGCAAAGTCCATTTTGCTTGACCTTCCAACTTTCTCAAAAGCTTCTTGTGTAACTAAGATTGAGACAAGAAAACAAGGACAGAGTCATATTTTCACATAGCTCCTGTTCTAGATTAACTTTTGTAGTAAGTAGGACCATGCTTTACGTGTATGTGTGTGTATACATGCGCACACGTGTGCATACAAGTGTGTTTACACATGCCAGTGGGTGTGTGCATGTGAGCCATTTACATGTGTGTGTCATCATGTGCTCACCAAACTGTGGTATGCTGTTGCCTACTACCTACGTGCTAAAAAGGAATGGGGTCAAGGAAGTGAGATGAAGGAAGAAGGCGTGAAAGGAACTAGAATTAAGAGTTTGCAATTAGGAGCAATTACATGTAAAGTAGTTGTGTTTTATGCAGTAGTTTAGTTTATTCTGTTGGCCTGGTCAGACAAGGTGAAACATGCACTACACACACACACACACACACACACACACACATGCACACACCCCAAGGTTTTATCTTAAGGTAGGATCAAATCAGAATTTGGTCATGTTTTATCAGACTTTATTTTCCTTTTCTTAGAGTTTCTTTGGTGCCACCTTCTGGTTGATGAAATTTGTGCAATTTGTTTAGGCCTCTATCTTCTGAAATGTCAAGTGCAAGGTGAGGCTGTGAGGACAAATGTTGCCTGAAGACGAGGTAGATCCTGTTCTACTGCGGCTTCTCTTAAAACATGCCTGGATGGGGGGAGTTTATACAAAAACTTGAGCAAAATTCCCAAGTCTGAGCCATAAGTTCCCCACTTTTTATTGTGTCTGAGAGATACAAGTGACCATCAAGTCCTTGGACCTCAATAAAGTATGAGTGCAAAGCTACTGTATGTGACGTTCTGAGTTCATGATCTGTCTATACAGGGAAATGAACATGTGCATGGCCATATGCTCTAGGTAAAGTTTCTAGTGTTTGCCATATTGGTTTTTGTTGTTGTTGTTGTTGTTAATTTCCAAATTATAACATAATCTTCTTGTGGGGTTTAAAAGTTCCAGTTAGAATTTTATGTGCATATGGGAGAAAAGATAGCATATTAAAAAAAAAAAAACAGTTTGTAGGTGTAGAGAGAAGTTTCTGTCCCACCCAATCCTGTAGTCATTAAGTCCCAAATAAACACACAAAGGCTTATATTAAGTACTAACTGTTTGGCCTTTTAGCTCAGACTTATTATTAACTAGCTCTTACAACTTAAATTAACCCACAGTTTTTACCTATGTGGCTTGGTACTTTTTCCCAGTAAGGCATTTCCATCTTTCTTCTTCACATCTGACTGGTGACTGTGTCTCTGCCTTTCGTTTTCCCAAAATTCTCCTAGCCTGTTTGCTCTGCCTATACTTCCTGCCTGGCTACGTGCCAATCAGCATTTTATCAACCAATATGAGTGACAAATCTTTAGAATGTACAAGAGCATTATCCCACAGCATATAGGGCCATAGTGACTAACTTGGTGAGATTTAAATCTTCTAAAACTTACTAGCCAGGGTCATCATAAAGTTTAATAGAAATACACACAATGCATATAAAATTATTGTGAAAGACAATAATTTAAAATTACAATAACTAATAACAGCAACTACTAATAATGATCATGTGACATTTTGGTACAATCATAATGATTAATAATGAAGGATTAATCACAATGATAATAATGATATAAGTAATATTACTTTTATCACTTGAAGCAAGATTCATGCTTACGTTGTCTCTTATTTTCTTGGTGTTTATTTGTGGTGCTAGATGTGCTTTGGGGGAAGGGTTTTGAAGTCAAACCCTCTTTTTACTTACAATTTGAGATAGCATATCTCTGAATTGTCTTGGCTGCTATTGAACTTAATCTGTAGCCCAGACTGTCATTGAACTTGTGATCATTATGTTTGTCTCAGTTTCCCGTGTAAGTGAGACAACAGGACTGTGCTGCTAGGCCAGACCTAGACTGGGGTATTAGTATTTGCAGAGGCAGGATAATAGGGCTCAACTGGGTAGCCACATTTCAATGATGGCTTTGGTGTTCTTGGGCATACGTGGGTATAAAATTGGCTGGAGGCAGTTAATTTACATTTCAAAGGGCGAAGATCTTAATAATGACAAGGTTTCTAAAGTCAAAGCTTTGGGAGGAAGGAAGTCAGGGCTCTAAGCAGGAGGATCTTTGCATATTTGGCCAAGTTTAGCTTTATTTCTTTTTAGTGAAGCTGAGGGAAAGGCATTCTGGCCAGGACAGATCCAAAGTCATTGCTTCTAGGTGCGGGTTTCATGTGAAATAAACCCTCTCCCCACACACCCTCTTTGCAGGTTGCCACACTAGTCTCAATAGATCTTGTGGAAAGTGTTTTATATTTTTGGAGTCACACTGATTCGCATAAATTTTTCATCTTCAACAGTCCACATTTCAGGTTATACTATCCTAAACAGAGCCTCCAAAACTGGTAAATTTTTATCCTCCCAGTTTTTACTTTTCATGGTAACAGAAGTACACCATGCATCTGCAGAAAATTAGTTATTATTCTTAGAAATTTTTAAAATGATTATATTAAAGACATCAAAGTGAAAGAGGAAATAGCAGTGTTCTCTTGTTTTGTTTGTGTGTGATGACTAGGGATGACAGGCTCTGGAATCCAGGAGTTCCAGTCTCTAATGACTCAGTGGAGATCCAGAAGGGTCATCCACGTCCTGCTCAGCCTTCCAGTCCCTCCCTCCTTGAGGCAATTCCTGTATTAACCTCATTTTATTGGGGTCAAAGGGGCGATGCTGAGAACAGTGGCTGGAAGTGTACCCCAAAGGCTACTTAATGAGGGACTTACTGTTAAAGGGAGGAATTAAACAATTTTGGAGGTTGTTTGAGCCCCTTTCTTGGAGAGTCCTATGTTCGTGAGCTACATGAACATGGGTTACATTTGTATATAGGCAGGGGGGATATTTGACTTTGATTTCATATTGGTTGTATACTGTTTTTGTTAGACAAGCATTGATGGAGGCAGTGTGGAAGTGAATGGAAGAAGATGGACATCTTCAGGACCAGAAGTTCTTTAATTAGAACAGCTGAAGTGCTGCAGTCTTTCTGCAGAAGTGAAACTGTGTGTGTGAATGTAGCAGCAGTGGTTAGGGTTTTATCAGATGGAAAAGCAGAAACTTTGGTGATGGAAGATTCTGTCTGCATGTCTGGAAGTGGTGATGCCACCAGATTTGGTGTGTGGATCTCCTCAACAAAGGCTTCCACAGGTGTGGCCAGTCAAGTCAGCTTCCCTGTCCAGAGCTTTTCAGTCCACCTGAGGCTCTTAGGCCACTAACCCTTCAATTTTCTTACAGGCTTATGACTGCACAGGACACAAATTCATCATCTCCACGTCCAAGAGGTCCAAATTCAGCAGTTGTACAGCAGAGCCTGGTACCCTGCTCTCACCAAGGCCCCCAGGGAGAATTTTGGATTTGTTTTCTTTTACCAACTTCTTGAGGTGGCCACATTGGTGGCCTGCCATCACAGGGCCCTCTGCCTGCATCTCTGTTTCTTACCCTGACCTTCCTACTTCTCTCTGTTATAAGAGCATTTGCAAGTTTATTACACTTTCCTTAATACTGTAGGTTAATGTATATGTCTAAAATCCTTAATTAAATACCACAGTAATGTACTTACTGCTAAGTAATATAATAAAATAGCATTTATAGGGTTTAGGGGTAGGACTCGGTATCTCTGAGGTACAGACTGATATTTTATCTGATTTGCCTAGTGTCCCCTGATGGAGGCCCTGGCATCCATGTGACTACATAAATCCTCTGTTGATGTACCTCTGTTCTGTGCCTTCGGTCTAGACCTCTCAAATGGATGACCTCTGTGAAGCCAATGGCTCTTTTGCCATCAGCCTCTTGAAAGTATTGGGTGAAGAAGACAAGTCACAAAACCTGTTTTTCTGTCCCTTGAGTGTCTCCTCTGCCCTGGCCATGGTCTACTTGGGAGCCAAAGGAAACACTGCAGCCCAAATGTCCCAGGTATGCTTACTGGAAGTTGCAGGAAGGAGTGCATGGCAGACAAACAGCAGGTTGGTTTTGGCTCCCTACACCAGGGGTTCTTTCTGTATCCTCAGCCAGAGGGTAGAAGTCAGTGGCTGATGGTGGAGGGGAGACTCTATACTGTTTCAGATATGGACCAGCACAGGAGCAAGGCAGTCATGTGGAACCAGTCATCTCCACAGTTTACAGGAGACCCACACAAAGGAACATGATGCACCCCATCTTTGTTATCTTTCTAGTTTTTGAAGCATTATGTCTTAAAGAGTCATGCGATCAAACCGGATTCTCTGAATGTGGCTGACAAGAGGGGCTGACTGAGAAGCCATTGATAAAGGCACTTGGACTTGTTCTACTGTTGTCTAATTTCTATGCTGTGCATCGATCCTGGGTTATCACATGATGCCTTACTAGGATGAATGATTCCTGCAGACCAAGGACCCTCACCCAAAGAGGGCATTTTTGCTTCCCCAGAGACACGTCCTCAGTGCTTTTGTTCTCAGAGCAGAGAGGTGCTACTGACATCTAGTGGGTAGAGGCCACAAATGCTGCCAATGTCCTCTAAAGCACTGGGCAGCCCCATCACAGCTTCAGATGACAAACATGCTGGCTTGTAAACCTACTGAGACAATCACCCTGACTCCTTGTACTATAGGAACATGTCACATTGCCATCCCTTAGCTGGGTTTGTGTGCAGAAGGGGAGATAATGACCGTGTTCAATAGTCTATTTATTCTATTCCTAGGTACTTGGCTTGAACGAAGGTAGAGATGTTCACAAAGGTTTCCAGACCCTCCTCTCAGAGGTTAACAAAACTGGCACCCAGTACTTGCTAAAAAGCGCCTGCCGACTTTTTGGAGAAGAATCATTTGATTTCCTTTCGGTATGTTGTACTCAGACATTGAGGAAAAGAAGTTGAAAACGATAAAAATGACGAAAATTGAAGAAAAGCAGGCAGCAAAGTTTAATGGTCTCTCCATAGAAATGTGCTTAGAATTATTCTTGTGACACTGTTATTGTGGGGTTTAGGACTGCTTTTGAATTATGTCCTCTCAAGTTCTTTACACCCTGATAGGTATTCTCACTCTTTCTCTCCTCCCCTTGAGTGACCATGTCATACACCATGTTATATAGAGCCCCTCCCCATCCTACCTGTGCTTTTGGGGCTGAGTATTGTTGAGACAAACTTTCAAGGTTTCTAAGATCTACTCTGTCTTCTAAATCACCACTGTTAAATGAATTCTGATGGGTTGGTTGTAGGCTGTGGCTTCCACATTATTTTAGATTGCTTTTAATGGGTCTTTTTGTGCCTGCATTGGTTATTTATAGTCTCACAAACTCAACCACTGAAAAAATAGTCTAAGATAAAAATGTCTTCGTGCTTGAGCACATAATCCCAAATTCACAGTCCACTAAAACGAGTGAGGTCTGACAGTCATGTCGCATAATGTGCAGACTGTCACTGACCTGAAATTAGGGAAATGAATGGTGCAAGCTTGACCATTTTATTGGCTGAAAGTTCTGAGTGTTCCTACATGAGGCTCAGGAGGACGCTGTCCTGGCTATGGTAAATTCTGTCCCTGTTGGCTTGCTGATTTAGTCTTATCTATCACTGGAGATGACTCTGGATCCCACGGTTCTTCTAATGAAGTCATGTTCACTTTGAACATCAGCTTTACATATTGGTGGCACAATAACCCATAGTGTACATTTCTACTGTATATGGGCTCTAAAACATTTTAGGTATTGAACAGAGAGTGAAGTTAATCGCTACATATGTATCTGAAAACACATTTTTGTAGGGAAGTTATCTGAGTTATACTGTGTTAGGGAATCTCCTAATTTAACTTTTACTTATGTTTGACTTTGCTGATATAAGCGAACATACATAGAGGTTCACATACACAAATGCATTCATTCATATACATATATTTAATGAGGATCCATGATCCCCATTATCTTTTGTTACTTCCAAGTACCTTTCCTTGTTCCCTATAATCCAACGGTTGCTCTCAACCTTCCTAATGCTGCGACCCTTTCAAACAGTTCCTCATGTTGTAGTGACCCCCAACTATGAAAGTATTTTCATTGCTACTTCATTTGCTACTGTTATGAATCATAATGTAAATAATTTTGGAAACAGGTTTGATAAAGAGTTTGAGAACTGCCCAATCATTATGTTCCAGACATAAACATTCTGGTTACTTCCTTGTCTACTTTTAAGTTTACATTCTAGTTCTTTATAGTGTAATCAGTAGAAAAGTGTGAGTGCCTGCCAGGTGGGAAAACAGAAAATCAAACAAAGTCATCTTGGCATGTCTGCAAGAGAAATATCTGTGCTTTGTGTATGGATAACAACAGTCCTAACTTGGCTTAAATGTCTTTGTGTACAGGGTATCTGTTATCAGGCCATGGGCCACCCATTGTGTATAGGGTATTCTGCTAACAGGACATGGGCCATCCATTGTGTACAGCGTGTCCTCTTAACAGGCGACATGCCACCCAGCCAGGTGCATCTTTTCTCCTGGCATCCAGTATTTCTCTCAACATTGGGCAGTGTAGGAGACCCACATCTTTTTTGAGAATTGTATGAATACATCTTGAAATACAGCATCACCTCCACAGACCCTTATGCTAGAAAAATGTTAAGAAAAAACATTTGTTCCCCCAACTGTGAGAAACTTAGCTGAATAGGCTCCAACCCCTGTTTATGCCCATAGACCTTCAAGGATTCCTGCCAGAAGTTCTATCAGGCAGAGCTGGAAGAGCTGTCCTTTGCTGAGAACACTGAAGAGTGCAGGAAACACATCAACAACTGGGTGATGGAAAAGACTGAAGGTAGGAGGCTTTGATTTAGGTGGACTTTGGAGTTAGGAGGGACAGTGAGCTCTGTGGAAGATGGGGCTGGGCCCTCCATGGTGTTCTTCCTGTGGCCTGGTTCTCAGAGCTATAATGATGTGTATGCTGGACTTTCCTTGGGACTATCAGATTGTAACATTTAAAAAGTAACCCAATGTTGAGTCTCAGACTGCTTCCCTTAAAACTGTGCTGAGAAGTCCCTGGTAAATGCTTCCTTTGGGGTCCCTGGTAATGTTCTGCTGTTCTCTGAAACAGAAGTATCGTCTTGGGATGAAGTTTAGATGGTGTATCAGTTAGAGTTGGCCCGTTCCCTACCTGTTTGAATCTGAGCAGTTCATCAGTTCACCTGCAGCCTTCATCCTTCTCTTAATGTGACCATGGTGGCCTCATCCTCCTCCTAACATAACCAGGGGACCAGAGTTGTTTCAGAACATGACTCTTTTTCAAATTTGCTCTAGAATCTTGTTGTCTTGTTACTATTTGGCTTACAACATTCACAAACCTCCTCATGAAATATTCTGGCCTGCTCTTGACTTGAATGTTGAGTAAAAGAGGGTGCCCTAAATAACAAGAAAGAAACCTAGAGACTTCTAAGATGTGGGGGAATTAAAAGTCATTTATTTGTTCAAGTGACAATCTAGAACCTAGCATCTAATACATTTAATTGATATGATACTCTCACCATATTTGAATTAGCAGTGGTTCCCTGATTATACTAACACTGGTCAGACCTTAAGCCCAGGAAGGAAGAGCCCCCCTACCATAGCTCATGCATCATCACCTAGTGGGCTCTAGCATGTCCGTGGATGAGATAACAGTACGTCAGCAGAGGCAGTCTCAGAAGGTTGCCTTTCGTGTACCATCACTTCTCTTTATCTCTTCACATCCTCCATGTAGGCACCCCTGTATGCTTTTCCAGAATAGTAGAGCTGAAGGCTGTCTTTAAGATCATCTTGTCATTGGACATGGAACTTGAGCCCTTTATCCTGTTTCCATAATTTCTTTCTCTGGCTTACTTTTTGGATAGCCTTCCTTCCTTTATATATACCTACATATACCTATACACACACACACACGCACACATGCACATATATACCCACACATCTATATACATAAATGTGTATGAATATATACCTTTATATTACAAGTGTATATTTCTGATCTTTTGGAAACCTCTGATTATATAAACGTGATTTGGAAATTAGTACTAAGTAGTGATTCTTAACCAGGACTGGATTTACCTTCCAATTGTCACTTGACAGTAACTGAGGGTATTTGTGGCAATTGAAATTGAATCAGGCATCACTAACTAACTCCTTTACCTTGCACAGTGAAGTTGTACCCAACCAAGAAGTAATCCAAGTAAAATGTCCATAGTAATGTAACTGTGATCTTGTAGTGCTAAGACCAAGAGGGCATTGTTGGAATCAAAGATATTGGCTTATTTTCTTAGTGTAGCCAACTGCTACCTCTGTGAATTGAGCAGAAGTTCAGGGAAATGCTCTCATCCTGAACTGATAGACACGCAAACTCAAGGCTAAGCCATAGCAGCCACACATGCTTTCAAACTTCTCTCTACACAGGGCATGTTCACACATACCTGATACATCAGCACTACTGAGGCTGAAGAAGGAAGGCTGTGTGTTTGTTGGTAGCTTCTGCTGTGTAGCAAGGTTGAGGCCAGGCTAGGGATGCAAAAGACTTATGAGGAGCAGAAAACATGGTTATTGTTTAAGGACAAATGATGCATTAGACAGGACTGAAGCCTAGTTCTCTACCTAATCTGGCCTTTAAATTTTATGTCAGGATAATTGATTATAGGAGAGTGCTTATCACTACCCTTATCTCCAACTCACAATAGACTTTTCATACAGACATCTTCTTCTTCTTTTAAACATTTTTTACATTCTCTACAGGTAAAATTTCAGAAGTTCTCAGTCCTGGAACAGTCTCCTCACTGACTAAGCTCGTTCTCGTGAATGCCATGTATTTCAAAGGAAAGTGGAAGGCTCAATTTGACAGAAAGTACACAAGGGGCATGCCATTTAAAACTAACCAGGTAGGGCAGTATTTTCCAATGTATTGTTATTTTTTTATAAGTAGTAAGCTGGAAAGATGGCGGATGAGAAAAGGAACAGTTTGTTTTACACTTGATTCTTATTCTATTTCTGAATTAAACTAATACCTCTTCTATATCTGTAATTAGAGGTAGAAAGAGAAACTAGAACAATGTGTACACTGGTAGTTATCTTTTTTCTTTACTCATCTTTGGTCAATTTCTCTTATCTTAAATATGGAATGGAATTTGACTTCTGTCAGTTTAACAATAGCAGGCTACACAAATGTGTGATTTTACCTAGTGATACCTCATCCAATGAACATAAGCCCATTCAACACTGCAATGGGCTAAGGAAGATTTTACATTTAACAGACTAAGTGCACAGAAATAATGATCATCTTATACTCTTCTGAGTCCCGAGAGTTGGATATAAGTTGTTTGTAGTAAATTATATTTATCATTTTAGAAATTTATTCTAATTTTAATTTCAATTTCATTTTCATCAGGAGAAAAAAACAGTGCAGATGATGTTCAAGCATGCTAAGTTTATGATGGGGCATGTGGATGAGGTGAACATGCAGGTCCTGGTTTTGCCCTATGCAGAGGAGGAGCTGTGCATGGTTGTTCTGCTTCCTGATGAGAACACTGATCTGGCTGTGGTGAGTCCTGGGCACCAAGTGTCTGTGCATTGCCAGTTGAGCTCATTTTCCAAGTCCATCTCTCGGCTGCGTTTGCAGAGTTTCCAGCTAAGATTATTCTAAGTCGTGCTGGATGAGCATGCAGGTGTTCCCTTCAGTGAACATGTGTATGCACTTTTTTTCATGTTTGTCCAGAAGTAGACAAGTTTTGATGATGTTAGGATGAGAATGTTCCAAAAATATAACAGCATTTTTTTTTAAATTTAGGAGGGTGAGTCTAGTTGATAGCCCAATCATTCTTTAGCAAAGATCCTGGAAAAAGGATAGCATTGGATAGTGGCAGAGTTTCCCGCATATTAACGTGCTTAGGAACACCATGGGTAATAGTTTCAGTAATGCAGGTTGTAATTCAGCTTGAGATTTTTTTTTTTTTTTTTTTTTTTTTTTTTTTTTTTTGGTTTTTCGAGACAGGGTTTCTCTGTGGTTTTGGAGCCTGTCTGTCCTGGAACTAGCTCTTGTAGACCAGGCTGGTCTCGAACTCACAGAGATCCGCCTGCCTCTGCCTCCCAAGTGCTGGGATTTCAGCTTGAGATTTTGCATTTCTAACAAGTTTTCAGATGAGGCAAGTGCAGTTGACTCATGGAACACACCTTGAACACAAAGACCTAAAGTATGGATCTGCAGTTTAATTTAATCCTCTTTATGACAGCAAAGGAACAAAATACATGAAGTAGAGACTTACAAAGTAGAAGGTGAATGAACAGGAGTGTTCTGGTAAGTCAGCTGTCTGCTGGCAAAGCTTTTGCCCACCATGGGAGGGCACAGGATAGATGGTAAGGACACTTGATTTCCTTTTTTTTCTATGTAATCAGAAAGCTATTGACATATGTCAAGAATGAGAACTACCGTGGCCCTGTGAGAAGAAATTGAGAAAATTCTAGGAATAGAAACAACGTCAAATGGCTGTCACTCCTCACTAAGTAAAGGGATGAAGAAATGCAAGTGAAAGTAGCCTACTGTCCTCCTAATTTTAAAAATTGACCCTTTGTCATTTCAGGTAGAAAAAGCACTTACCTATGAGAAATTCAGAGCTTGGACAAACCCAGAAAACATGACAGAAAGTAAAGTCCAAGTTTATTTCCCCAGATTAAAGCTGGAGGAGAGTTATGACCTGGAATCTTTTCTTCAGAGTTTGGGAATGACAGATGCCTTTGAAGAAGCAAAGGCGGACTTTTCTGGAATGGCAACTCAAAAGAATGTGCCCGTGTCCAAGGTTGCCCACAAGTGCTTTGTTGAGGTCAACGAGGAAGGCACAGAAGCAGCGGCGACCACCGCCGTGATCAGGAATGCCCGGAGCATTAGAGTAGAACCAAGATTTTGTGCTGACCACCCATTCCTTTTCTTCATCTGGCACCACAAAACCAGCAGCATCCTGTTCTGTGGCAGGTTCTCTTCTCCATAAAGGCATTATCGTGGGCTGAGGGTGTATCTCAGTTGGTAGAGCGCTTGCATAGCAAGCACCATCCCCTGGGTTCAACCCTAAGTACCCTATAAAAACAGGCATGATGGTGCCTCCCTGCTGTTCTAGCATTAGGGAGGTACAGGGCAGGGGGATCAGTTCAAAAGTCATCCTCAGCTACATAGAAAACTTGAGGCTAGCCTTTTGATACCTGTTTCAAAAAGACAAGAAAGTGTAACGTGTGATTGCTTTACACATAATTTTTTGCCACATGCCAGAATTAAAATCCTATGTTTCCAGATTTGGCAAGGTGGTTTCACTGCACAAACAAAGAGTATACTTACTAGTTGGTGAATATCTTTGCTGATAGCTCCAATGCCATGTGTGGGGAGTTTGGAGCTGAGAAGGTTTGTAGTGTCTAAGTAGCTTCTGATTGTCTCCAGCCTTATTCAAAACCCAGCTCCCAAAGTGCTATCCCACACTGCTAACATCTCCTCCACTGCCAGTCTTATCAGGCAATGCCAGTTGAAGGTCCCCATTACATCTATAGAATAACAAGAACTTGTCCCCTGTCTCACAAGAAGCTGAGACAATCTCTCATTCCATCAGTGTTACTGAACAGTCCTGTATGTCCACCATTTAGACAACTCTTCCCACAAGTTTCAAGTAGAAGTTCAAGGCTTCGGCCTGGAGAGATGGCTCCGTGGTTCAGCACACTGACTGCTCTTACAGAGGACCCAGGTTCAATTCCCACCACCCACATGGCAGCTCTCACAGCTGTCTATAACTCTAGTTCCAGGGGATCTGACACCCTCACAACAATGCACATAAAATGAAATAAATTTAAAGAAAAGAAGAAATAATTTCAGTAAGTAAGTGATGGAGGAACGTCATTGGTTAAGTAATAAAGAAACTGCTTGGCCTCATAGGTTAAAATATAGGTGGGAGGAGTAAACAGAACAGAATGCTGGGAGGAAGAGGAAGTGAGCTCAGAGGCCATGCTCCCCTCTCCCTGGCAGACACGATGAAGCAAGTCGCCAGGTCAGACATGCTGAATCTTTCCTGGTAAGACCGGTGCTTATTAGAGATGGGTTGATTGGGATATCAGAATTAGCCAGTAAGGGTTAGAGCTAATGGGCCAAGCAGTGTTTAAAAGAATACAGTTTGTGTGTTGTTATTTCAGGTATAAAGCTAGCCAGGCAACTGGGAGCTGGGGCAGCAGGGTCCAAGAGGAGTTGGGCGAGGATTAGGGGAATCTCAGCAGAATGCTAAATAATTGAACAGAATAGGAATAACCTATCTCTTTTCAGGAGGTCTTGCCCATACTATGTAGAATTTGAAAAACATAAATATTTTACCTTTGAGCTTTTATGTATAATCTTTAGTACTGTGGAATTCAATTTCTGTAGCAGGCCTTTGCCAGCTCTCTTTGCTTTTGCTTGTTATACTTGGACTCTGAAGTCTTTATTCTCTGCCCTGTTGTCATATGTCAGCTAGAACTAACCGCAGAGGGCAACCGTCTGCACAGTTGTGGACATGGCCATATGATGGGTCTCTGCAAGTTGGTGGTTCAGTGCACATCACATGTTTCAAGGAAAGAAAGACAAATACCAGGTCATTGCATCTGGTGAACTTGATCTGCAGTCCTGAGTGAGGTTGCCACAACAACTGGGCAAGAGCGAGTTTCCTGATAGACGTCCTCAGCATCTGACTTCATGTAAGCAGAGGAAGTGACCCCTAACAATTCATAAGTCAGTAACTAGTTACATGACCTTGAGCAAGTTAGGGAAAGTTCTTTGTGTCCAGTTTTTCCTTTGAAACATGAAAGGGTTTGCCCAGATGATCCCTAAGTGGCTTGTGCCTCTGCCATTCTCTAACAAATGTGCAGCACAAGACTATTTTGGGGCTATATACTTTACTTTCTGCATTGACATTTTTCTTGCTGCTTTATAAGCTTTTGTTATTTCAAAGATGAATTTTGTCGTTAGAAATCCAAGTTGGCTCCAGTGTGCTGTTAAATCGACACCTTTTTCATTTCAGTTAAGGACTTTGATGATAGCTGCCAGCCAGAGCTTGCAAAATAAAACCATGTTTTCTGTTCTAACATTTGTTTCATCTTCATCTTTTGTCAGCCGAAATATTGCTATTTGTCATTTCAACATTTTCCAGCGATACCTCTTTCCTCATTTGGGGCCTTTGAAGTTTCTTGCATCAGAATGAAGACTTTTGCTAATAGATCTCCAGGGCTGCTCCTTGTGTCAGGGAAAGGGGTTAGCAAGCCTCCTTCAGCGCTAAGCAAGTTCTCTAGCTGATCTGTTCTGCTTCCTAATTAGAAAAGTGACATTCAAATAGAGAAAGGAGCAAATTTGGAGACAAAAATCTGCCGCTGGGCTGTGGCTCATTTTGCTTCCCTGGTGCAGTGCTATTAAGAGCGCTGTTACAAAGTGTATGGCTGTTAGACTGCCCTAGCCACCTCTTCACTAGCAGAGGGGCAGCCAGCCAAGAATCAGTTCCCAGATAAAGCCCCAGGAGCTTCAAGCTTTCTGGGCATGAAGGTGGTAAGTGCAGATTCCCCAAACTCCTTCATCTGTGAAAGGTTCACTTGTCTGCTGGGTAATAGGGCTTTTTAGGGGACCAGTAATGAAAGCTGAGATTCTTCCCATGCAACCCATACTATCCTAAGTTTGAGCACAATACAGGGATATTTTTAGAGATAAAAGTTCAGAATCAAGATTGATATAAAACCCAGGTGATAGTGGTGCACACCCTTAATCACAGAACTACAGAGGATTATAAAATGGGAGGAGACATCTCTCAGTCTGATTCTCATTCTGAGGTTTCCTAGAGGCAGGATCACCTTTTCTGGTCTGAGGTCTAGGTAAAAGCCAGTGGTTGGTTGTGTTGTTTCTGGTCTTTAGGTTGAACCAACCCCAGTATCTTTCTCTGAGTTTTTATTATTTGTGCATCACCCAGGGACTCTGATAACTTTGCTATCAAGAATAGAATAAAGGTTGATTTCCTTTCCATAAAGTGGACAGAAAAAAAAAAAAACTATCAATCCTGAGGGCAGTGAACAAAACTGAAAAGAAGTTTTGTCTGCATAGACTATTTAAGATATGTGTGTTGTGCATGTATTATGTATGCATATGTGTACACACAATATATATATATATATGTATATGTATATATGTATATACACACACACAATTAGGATGTTGCAGTTTGGAGGCTAATTTTCTTACGTAGGTCTAGTTCTAGCCCCATGGAACAGTCATTCCTTGTCCTTGCCCACCTTTGGTCAGAACTAACATCTTATGACTAAGAGAAATCCTTGTAATCTATTAATTTAGGAGAATGCCAACTTTCACTAACCCCAATCCTAAGAATGTCATCAGATAACATTTTGGACATGTAAAAAGACTTTTCTCATCTTGCTGTATCTGTCTCTCAGTTATATGTACCAAAATATTTTAAACATGTCTTGATAAATGATTTCTTTATTTTGTAAAACTATACAATTTCATGTAACTGCCTCTACATTGGCTCATAAAATTGAGAAACTTAAATCTATGTTCCCAGACCATGCTCTCAAATACCTTCAGAATAAACTATCTTCATTCTCTTTGAGAAATCTATCATCTTTCTGTCAACATAAGGTAAAGAACCATGCAAAATTCCATAATGCAAATAGAGATAAATTATTAAAAGTGAGTTTACTGGAAAGCTGTAGACATAAATATTTGAGTCGTGATTTGGGAGAATAATCCAAATGCCACTTTTATGATATAGAATCTAAGACTCAGTTTACATGGCTTGCTTGGCACCTTAGCATATGTCCTTATTTATTAGAGCATTTTGTTAAATATTTTCAGAGTGTGCCTATTAGGATAATTATTGTTAGTGGTACACCTGAGCTGGGAGTAGTGAACGAGTGGTATTAGACCTTCATTAAAAAGTTGTTGAGAGCCTGTTGTGTGATGGCATATGTACTAAAAAATGGTAGCATATATCAGTAATCTGAACAATTTACAGGGCAATCCAAAAGAATCGTAATTGTGAAGGAAACACAGTACTTCTGACTGAAACACCTTGGAAACATGAAAAGTTCTCTAGTGAACCATATGTAAAGACTAGACAAGAAATTTCAGCTGAGTCCAGTAATAATAGACCCATTTACTAGGTCTATATGCTTCTATAACTAGCTTATTCTCACATCTGGACTCTTATTTTCTTGTCAGTGACATCTCCTGACCCAACTAAACCAATATTCATAGAGTAAAAGTCTCCATAGGACAAATAGCACATGAACATGGTTTCTCAATGGCCTTACTCTCTGTAATTTTTGATCACTAGAATCATAAAATCAAAGAAGCCACTGAGCTGATAATAAGTATTGATTAGGATAGTTTAAAATATTACTTTAATATTTCTTTCTCTTCTTTTTCTAATAATGGAAAAGCCTGAGGACATTTTACTTCTGTGGTCAAAAATATCATGGGACCACATGAATTCTCACCCTCCAGCTGTGTATATAATGAAATAAACTCTTTTTACCTCTTGTCTTCTGCTCACTGTAGCACATTAAACTTTTCTTATTTCAGAGTTATGTCTGATGTGACCTGGTACTATAACAGGAAGCTGCATAAATCGTCTTGGTAAACAAGACACCAGCTTTTAGCCTGTCTGGGATTTCAATCATCACCATTACCCAACCATTCCCAGGTTTAAGATCAGGACTTGGAGTAACCCACTTTCTCCAGATTTACAAGAAATCATGAACCAAGTTTTGACCCTTCTGACATTTTCAGCCTATTCATTTAGTCCTGGGAAAGTGTCCTTTAAGTATTATATTAATCTTTCTTGGTTTCTTGTTGGTTCTTAGAAGGTAAACTCAGTCTTGGGAGTTCTGAGAAAATATGTGTGTGTGTATGTATTTGTGTGTTGTGCTTGTGTGTGTGTATTTGTTTGTTTTAATTTTATTGGAAAGTTAGGCTTACTAGGAACCAGACAACAATAAAAACAAATTAAAATAATTAATAGAATTGGGTATTGGTGGAGGTTTCTTGTTTGTTTCTCAGATGCCCAGACCTGAAATAACCATACAGAAACTATATTATTATATTATTATAACACTGTTTGGCCTAGTTCTTATATCTTAAATTAACCCATTTCTATTAATCTGTGTTTCATCATGTGGTTGTGGCCTTCCAGTAAGGTTCCATCCAGCGTTCAGTGTCTGTCTCCTGCAGCGGCTACATGGTTTCTCTGTGACTTTCCCTGCTCTCTATATATCTATTCCTCTGGCTATATTCTGTTAAACAATTGGCCAAAAGCAGTTTCTTTATTAACCAATGATAATAAAACATATTCATAACATAGAGCAGAATCCCACATCAATTGGGCAGTCAAAGTTTACTCAAGATTTTTATTTCATCCTCTACTTTTGTGACAATATACTCCTGACTCTATGACTAACTTTTTGCAACATCTCAGGGACCACAGGATGGAAAGAAATGCCTTAAAGATTTGTGGATAAACTCATGTTTCAAAATGTGCCCTAAGTACCTCAAAGTTCAAAGCAATTATTGAAACTTTCACTTCATTTACTATATAAATATTTTTGTTCAAAGAAAAATGGCTATGTGCTGGTTAGTTTTATGTCAGTTGATGCAGATAGAATTATATGAAAAGAAGGAACATCAATGGAGAAAATTGATACAGTTGTCTCTATAAGTTCAGTCTGTGGGGCATTTTGTTAATTGGTGATTGATAGGGAATAATGGTTTTGTACACTGTAAAGATTTGACACTTGTATTGGTTTAATAAAACACTGATTGGGCAGTAGCCAGGCAGGAAGTATAGATGGGGCAACTAGACTAGGAGAATTCTGTGAAGAGGAAAAGAGAGATGTGGTTACTAGCCAGACACAGAGGAGGCAAGATGAGAATGCCTCACTGACTAAAGGTACCAAGGCATGTGACTAAAAATAGGTAAGTATTATGTGTTAATTCAATTTGTAAGAGCTAGTTAATAATAAGCCTGAGCTAATAGGCCAAACAGTTTATAATTAGTGTAAGTTTCTGTGTGTTTCTTTGAGACTGAATGGTTATGGAACTAGGAGGGACAGAAACTTCTCTCTAGAGGTCTGGCCCAGCCCATCTTGGGTGGTGTTACCCCTGGACTGGTAGTCCTGCATTATTTTAAGAAAGCAGGCTAAGCAACTCATGATGAGTAAGATACTAAGCATCACCTCTCCATGGTCTCTGCATGAGTTCCTACCTCCAGAATATTGTTCTGTTTGAGTTACTGTCCTGGCTTCCTTTAGTGATGGACTACAATGTGGAAGTATAAGCCAAATAAACCCTTTCCTCCCCAACTTGCTTTGGTTATGGTGTTTCATCACAACAATAGAAATCCTGTGATAGGCTGATTTAAGAATATTATCTTTCCTAAAGCAAGTGCCTCATACTTGTGTCCTTGGGATTCCTTTTAGACTGGCATATACCTCATTTATATGAGAAGAGAATGAGTTATCAGGGATCTTAGGATATCAGTCTTGAACTTTTAGTCCCATGTCTCAGACCTGGATACACAATCACAGAACAAGAATTTCTGTCTCCATTGCATGCATTGTACTCAGTTTGCTTTTTCCTCTTACAGTGCTCTGAAAAATCTTTCTTCCAATAAATACAGTTTTAAAACTCTGCCCAGGTTCTGTTTCTTCTAGGATAACTCTCTAACTATAGGTGATGATCTATGTGACTGTGCACTTATGCTTATCTATATGCATCCTTTATATGAGCTATATCCTGATGTGACTTACTGTAATTTGCACATGCATACTTGTTTGAGAGATACATGCTGTTGCATCCTATCTACCTTACTAGATCTAACTTTAAATGGTCCATAATGGTAGTCAGTCTTTGGATTTTCAATAAAGTTGCAAGAAAATGTCTTGTAGTTGGGGTTCTATCTTTATGGTATTTCAATTCAGTGTATGGACTTCATGGAAGGTACATTATCAATTTTATGTGCATCTGTACAATTTTATGGTAAGATGGAATGTTGCATCTGAAAAACTGAACCAGATTATTCTTGTTAAGAAATACTGACCTTCAGTATTTTATACATAAGATTCACCTAAATTCACATGTAATTATTTCCCCTATATTATAGAATATCATCTGCTTTACAATATTGAATCTGAAGTTTTGAAATTTCCTGAAGAGGACATTTTCAATCTTCCACTAGTATTTCATATTCTGAATCAATATTCATTAATATTCAACTACTGTGTTACTTTCTAATCCCATAAATAAATTTTAAGAAGAACACAGAAAAAATGGGACTCATGCCAACAAGTAGGACAAGAGCTGCAGTGTAAGCTGCAGTGAGCCAAATGCACTAACTAAGAACATACCCATATATAAGTATACTTTCCTAAATACATAACTGTAACCTGCTCAGTCTATATAATATTACTTGTATGTAACTGTAAAGGATAACTGCTTAGTATTGGATAAGCAGTTGGTGTATTCTTCCCTGGGAAAGATTATTTTTCTTACTCTCAGTATTCTTTAGTTATCCGTATTTGTAGCTGGAGGCCACTTGTTTGTTTCTGGCTGCTCAGCCTTGACATAACCACACAGAAACTGTGTCAATTACATTATTGTTTAGCCTATTAGTTCTAGCTTCTTATTGGCTAGCTCTTACATCTTAATTTAACCCATTTCTATTAATCTGTGTATCACCACATGACTTTGGTTTACCAGCAAGGTTCCAGCTCATCTGTTCCTGGCAGTGGCTACATGGCATCGATCTGGCTCTGCGTTCTTTTTCCCAGCATTCAGTTTACTTTTTCCTGCCTAGCTCTACTCTACCCTACCACATGCCAAGGCTGATTCTTTATTCATTATAAAAGCAACACATATACAGAAAGACTTTCCACACTATATAATGCTTTGTCTAAGGTTGAGGCCCCAGGATCCTCCCCACGCCCATTCATATTAACATGTCTATTGATATCATCTTTGATCAGATCAGCTTATGCTTAGGCAG